AAGCCATTCGCTTGGTACACAAGTGATTCTCGCATGCGCTATTCAAAACTGTCCCCCCCCCTTAAAGGTTCTATTGTACCGCTTGCACTGTAGGTGGCTACTTTCCGTTGTCCTGAATGCCTTGGATGACCCACACCAAAATGTCTTACCTTATTAGAATAGCGCAATAATACCTACAAGATTCAAGTACTCACCTTTCTTGTAGCAGAGTTGGAATCGACGTGAACGGCAGCACTCTTCGGCTTCTTCACAAGCGATTCCTCTTCAGAGAATGGTATCTTCTTCTTGAGCGGCTGATCCATGAAGTTGCTATCTAGGGGACAGCACGATTTGTCCTCACAGAAAGACGCGATGGGACAGTCATCAGATTTACGACATACTGTTGGCAGCATCAACGGCCGGAGCCCATTCCGACAGCGTTTCCCTGCCACTCTGCAGCACTGTCCATCCACACACTCGCTGATTTCAGGGCAAGGATTGTTGAGACTGCAGAAGTGGACTCGATTATCCACCAAACACTCGTCGGTAGGTGCGAATGCTGGCATTTGAGCGCCTTTTGGGGTTACCTTTTTTACTGATGGCGGGGTTTTTGCTGGTAACTCTGTCTTTACTGAATTAATGCTTGCAGAGTTCGAGTCTTCTGAATGACTGAACAGCTGCTCATCCGATGAATAGGGGTCTTGTATTACTTGTAAATCTGCAGTGACATCTCTGATCTCTTCATTGGTTCCAGGTGATGACTTCTTTAGCTTTTCCAAGCCGTGCAATGATTTCTTGCGTCCATGCTGGCAGCAACCACCGAAGAGGCACGTTTCGCCAGATCGACACTGATAGGCGTTTGTGCAAGTGAACTGAACTTTGGAGCCATTTGGACACACTTCTAAGTCGACAGCACTTGTTGAAGCAGGTGAATGTGGGAGGACATTCCGACGAGTCACTGCAGACGGCATTGGAATTATCGCATGGAGCTGAAAGCAGTGGTGGTAAGAGAGCGAAAACAGCTTACTTAAAGTTTAGGAATTTCTCAGCACCGAATTTTGATCCTAGGGCCCTCAAAAATGGTTGGGACGTTAAATGGGAGAACACGGCTCCAAAATCTCCTGAATGGAAAGCTTTCGAAATGCACCAGCTATTGGAAACAAGACAAACCATGGTCATGTGGAACGATTGCCTTCCCGTGAGTTCCCCCAGCCTTTGCGGCTTGCTCTGCTGCCCTTGTACCACGCCCGAAAGTTTTTCGTTTTAACTCGCCCTTATATACTTGCTGGTTCTTGAACACCACAAACGTCTTCCTCGACGGGCCGACTTCGCACTACCTTACAGTGCCTGATCCCTTGAAACGCCGATAGGGCGTGAAGCGACGGGGATGTGGCCTGGAACGCCCATCCAAATACTCTCACCAGTCGAAGCTGGGACTTCCAAGATTCATTGTCTGCGAACAAGGCTGCCCTGATGGCTCCAAACCGCGCCGTCTGCCACACGCCCTATCGTTATGCAGGATAGAACGCTTTATCCCAGCTTTTTTAACTTCCCAAAAGTTTCTACATATATTCGCAAAACCTTATTCAGCAAAAAGAAACCTATGACATTCATCACGATTTGAATACGGACACTCATGGCTTTCGCGACAAATGTGGTTAAAAGCGCGACCTTATGGCCTGCGCTGCTCTGGCTACTGCCGGCTGCTACAATGCGATTTTCATAGAAATAGGCTACGTTGAATGCTAAGCAAGGGGAACTGCCGATGCTCAATATCATTTCACGATTATTTTGTCCTTGACCCCCCCCAGTGGTCAACCACTCTAGCCTCCCCCCCCCCCGCCACTCCTAGTCCCTTACTACTCGTCAGCTAGGCTTTCCCTCATCTTGTGAAGGCGCGGCTAACCTGCACTGAGGAGTTGCTCCCTCCTCAAGTGTATTGTGAACCCAAAAGGCCCTCCCATTAGTCACCGACTATTTTGAGCGGAGTTCTAATGCATGGCGCTTCCCGGGGGTGATTCTATGGGCTGTATCTACTCCTGTTACAGCTCAACGCGTATTACTGTTAAAAAAGCAGTCGAACAAGGAGTCTTCTAAGAGACAAATTGCTTTTTTCAATGCGCTTCGTGAGCGATCTGACATCTTTGGGTCAAATCGTCGTCGGAGCAGTGAGCGCAAGTGCCGGTGACCAAACACTCATTAGCTGTCCGAGCGCGCGCGTAAGCAGCCCTAGCAAATACACATCAAAACTCACTCGAAACCATCGACGACGCCGGTGAAGCTGAACTGAATGTAGTCGCCCTCGAACCAGCCGCTCGTCGTCTCTTCGTTCCATTGTGGTGTTCATGGCCATTGAGAAGCATTTTTAGCATCTTGTGAAGGCCATTCATCGATCGGCAACAGTTCGTGGAAGTATCGCATGCCATGCCAGAGGGGCAGTGAGGAAGACAAGGTGTAGAGCAAGGTTTTGAAGAAGTAGGACAGCAGAGTCCGCGTAACGTGCAGAAAGTGCCGTGGGGACAGGGGCAGTGACCAATGGCCACGGCTCCGTCCGCACAGGCATCTGAAAGGGGTTAGCACAGCGATAGGATTAGTAGGAAGGAAGGATAAGTATGCAGAAAGGTTAGAAATAGAAGCGGAAACCGCGGGGGGATAGGGATGGTGAGAGGAAGGGTCTGGCTCGGCTGAGTGGGGTTGTTAGTTCTTTTTTTGACAACCTACTATTAGAGCGCGGTCTTTGAATATTATACGGCAACCACGCTCCAGTTTCCTTTTCTGCACCAATCCGGACACTAAAAGGGTTATTTCGCTCGTTTTACTAGCCTCGAAATCTAAGCTTCAAAAAGTTATCGCTCCCATCGCGAAATATTACTCCCACGTGAGTCGACGAATTATCACTTCGCCTTCCCCAATATTGGGTTTTTTACTGGAATTCAGAACCTATCGCGAGCGTGAAGGGCCAGGTTCCCAAGAGTCTCACTGCCGGCCAGACCCTTGTGGAGAAGTGTAGGAATCAGGCTGATGATTGATGTGCCGGTCACTTACGGGATAGCGAACTCATTCGCTTTGGTACAATACAGGTTTGTTGTTCGAAGTTGAACACAAAACCATCCTGGCAGGATTTTCTTATCCATCGGAGCGATCTGAAAGAAAGAGTCGATTCGGAGAGACAATTTTCAGGTCTGATCAGTAAGTACAGCTTACGTCTGGTCGCACTGTAGATAGCTGGACGGTATGTCGATGGCGGCCTGCAGGCAGGTCGCTGACACAGCACACGAGTCTGACTCTCGAGCGTCGATGTCCTGCTCTGAAATTAGAAACATAAACCCAGAGTCATCACAAGAGGTTGAAAGAATCATTGAACATTATTGTTGTGGATTCCATATAAGGGAGCACTATCCATTTTAAAGGAGCGGGGGAGGGGGGGGAGTGTTGTACCAAAAAAGACATTTCCCTTATCCCGACCATGTCTTACGTCCTGCTTTCTCCACGTTTTAGTTTGGTTCCATGGAAGGGTTCTCAGTTTTCAAAAGTGTCTTGCTATTGTGACTGCTACTTAAGGTCACAGTTCGCGCTCCTAAAGTCAGCACAAGAATGCGGAGGCAAAAAACTTAACCTCAGGCCGGACTTGGACCCATCTCTCGCTTATCGGCCGTATGTGCTGTCCGTTGAGCCACCATAGTCGCTTTCACCCTTTCAGCTAAATGGTTCACTACCCTTTTACCCATGACTCAGTATTCTTGCGATAGTTCTTGACAGTATTCTTGCGATAGATCTTGGCTTTCTTGAGCAGCTTCGGTAATCCCATAGCAGGTAGCACCATTAGCTCCACTATACTCGCGAAACGAATATTGATGCGATTTCAGTTTTGTTTTGTAATGTCGGGGTGCGCCATGCATTTCACTTGAATTCGCAAACGCAGAATCAGGCCGCTCTTCGTAGGCTTAGTATTGGTATCGGTAGTCAATGTTTGCATCCAAATAAGGCCCCTTCAGTGGAAGCGTCAAGAGAGCTGGCTCGTAGACCTTTTTCACAAGAATTTAATTTTGAATTTTACAATGGAGGAGGGGGAGAACAACCAAAACACGGCTCTGACTATGCACTGTTTTGAGCGCTGCACCCCGCATGAGCGTTTTCAGGGATCTATGTGGGCTTCAACTGTCATCACCTTCAGTCGAGGAGTTAAATAAAGAAGCCACATACTGTGAGTCAGCTCAGCGGCGAAACGCAACTAGCCCTGCACTCAAAAATGAGTAACATTGCTATTGGAGCTACGAGACCTCCTTGGGCGCCTTTACTGTATGGTGAGTTGATCTCAAGTCTGAAATGGCACGGATTACACTTATCTTTCGGCGTCTGGAGCTCCGACGAAGGCGATTAAGCCGCAATGTCAACCGTGTAATAGTGCAATATTTTTGCTTAGTTTCAACATTTGGCGCGAACAAAATAAGTGTCAAAGCGATCGCCCGCCGAGATCAATGACCCCCACTGACTTACTGCCAAAGCGATCGGCCGCCCAGATCAGTGACCACCTACTGACTTACTATTGGGTAATTTGGGGCGGGCCTGGCGGGAAGCAACATATATAAGTAAGGTGCCCCGGGGGTATTCTATTCTAGCCTGCCGTCTACCACTGCTCCAGCCTCGACGACGCTTCTACCGCCACCGCCCGAGGAACCGACACCGAGTCGACGCCGTTACACCGCCGTTACATAAGTGATATTTGATTTCATATAGTAATTTCATTGGCTTACATTATGACACTAATTGCTTCCAAATCTTCGCTTAATGGGTCTTTAGATAAAGGGGCCATTCTCAAATAGTTGTGATGACTTAAAACGTCCATAATTGGGGTCTTGACTACTTCTCTTTGCTTATGGAATGGCATTAGCTATAAGAAAGATTGGCCTCAATTACTTCCAGTCGGTGATCAGTTGCTGGTTGCTTCCGAGCGTGAGCTTCACGAAAATAGTCCCCAGTAATCAGTGTTGTTGATCAAGCATTCCATTAGTGCTTATCGTTGAACATCTCCCTCTCCGTGTTGAGGCTCAAGTAAGGTGAGTGACGGACTTCGTTGGTGCGAATGTTTGCTTAAAGTGAACAGTTTGGTCACGACCGGCCGCCGCGATGGTTGCGACGCCGGCGGAATAGCCGCCGGAACCGCTTTTGACCGCCATAGAGTAGCGCTGCTGCTGTTGCGTTCCAAGCAGCTACACATAGGAATGCGCGGGGTTCTACTTCAATCTGTGGTGGGAGATTCCTCTATCACAAACTGCATACTCAAAAAGTCTAGTATGAAGTGAAGGACCGTTGAAAGTACTGAGCTGAAGCAAGCTCGCCTAGCTACATGATAGATAGCCCTTTTACAAACCTCTTATTACAGATTCTTTCCGAGAAAAATCGCTGCGCGGAACTGGGTTGAAGGCAATTTGGTGGAGATACTGGGTCAACTGTGGATCACTGGGCGATTGAAC